GATGAACCGAAAGTTTAAACCAATTACGAAATTGCACTTCTATGATGACAGCACAACTCAGAACAAAAACCATGATAATTATTACAGAAACTAATCAAATAGAAAAGAAGAAAAATAATAGAAAATATTTATAATGTTAAGTCTAATTGTTTTCCAACTTTTAACTTCTTTATTATACCTTGACATCTACCCATGCCAAGTGTTTTAATAAATTATACAAATTACTGATATATCAATAAGAATTTAATTCCGAACATGTTAAAATGTGTAGATTATTATTTATTATTATTATATAAAAAAAAAAAAATAATACAAAATTATTTTATTTTCTTATAGAATGTAAATTAATACATTCAAAAATATGTATGAAACTTAGGCTAATAATAAAGAATAAAGAAACATGAAAAAATAATTATTAAAATAAATTAATAAAGAAACATGAAACAAATTATTAAAATAAATTAATAAAGAAACATGAAACAAATTATTAAAATAAATTAATAAAGAAACATGGAACAAATTATTAAAATAAATTAATAAAGAAACATGAAACAAATTATTAAAATTATTAAAATATATTTTAAAATGTTAGAATATTAAAATGCATAGTATAACTAACGTGCATATACTCTTAATAGAGTACAACACATATATATAACAATTTCAGTAATAACTGTAGTAATTATAAGTAATTATATGTATACATAATTATGATTATGTCTCGAAAAAAAAAAAAAATTGAACATTTTAACAAGAAACATGAAAAAACAAAATACAATGGTGAATAATAGAAAAACGATTGCGACAATATATCCATAAAGTCTGATCAACTATATATATGGGATTGCACGTCAATTGCAGAAATAAAACAAAAAAAAAAAATGTTGCTAAGATAAGGTTCGAACCAATAAAAATAAAAGGATCCTATAAAAAATGTAATAAAAATGAAATGACGTCAAAAAATGGAGTATATCGAAAAAACGATGATACCAGCACTGTGAGATGTAGCGATAATCCATCGAATCTAGATTCGCTTTTGGAGAAGCTCACATCGTTTACGCACAGGCATGATATAAAATTAGTAGCGCTTAAAAATAAAAGGATCCTGTAAAAAGAAATATAATAAAAATGAAATGACGTCAAATATTGAATATATAGAAAAAAACGATAATACCATCACTGTGAGATGTAGCGATAATCCATCGAATCTAGATTCGCTTTTGGAGAAGCTCACATCATTTACGCACAGGAATGATATAAAAATCGTAGCGCTTAAAAATAATGATGAAAATACTCGAGTTTAAAGAAAAATATAATACTTTGCAAAGATTTTTAAAGCAACAAGGTCGACCAAAATTAAATATATGTATTCACACACCATTGATAAAAATAACAAAACAACTAATTATGTTCAAAATAATTCAATAAAAATATACTAATTTAGTATTTTATAAAATATGTTAACAATATGAGACAATCATTAACAAATTAGCTGGTATATAATATATTAACATAATAGGGAAAAATACTCTTGTATCTTATGAAAACTTGCAGCTTTGTGCATATTTAACAATAAATAAGTATGTATTAAAAAATTATTACACAATATATACGTATATACAATTACATATAGATATGTACTATTTGTAAATTAATACCGAAAAATATATTAACTTAAAAATGTAAAAACAATAATACAAAACCAAAAACAATATAATTAACATACAAAAGTTATTTGAGTATGTAAACTGAATATTATGTACTCCAAAGGAATTAAGAACATATTAACAAAAGTAATTAACAAAACAAAAAAAAATTTTAATTTCTTCAAAAATAAAATAAAAATTTTTTTTAAAAAAAAAAAAGGGTAAGGGTGTAGTATATCTACATATTAACAAACAAAATAATTATTTGTTAATGGTAATATGATGATATACGTTACTGGCACATGCCAAAAGCAAAGACATTGATCACACACTTACCATGTGAAGAAGCGCAAAAGAAAAGTAATTTGATTCTTTTGTTTTGCGCAAATGAAATTCGTAAAGTGCATTAACTTGCATTGGAATTTCATTATTTAGTATTTCGGGTAATTATTAAATAATAATAATAAATTCATATTTTTAAATTAATTGAAATGCATATTAAGCATTTTTATATGAAAATTACTAGGCGAACATAATATTCAGGTAGGTTAGTGTTTAAGTTAGAATAAGTATAAATACTGTACAAATTTAATAAAGAATTCAGATTCAAACAGAACATTGAGTCTCGCTTATTATGTTATTCAAGTTGCCTAGTTGCAACCTAGTTTTATTCGCCTCGTTGCGAACAAGAAAGGCGCCTCGCTGCGCTAGGAAAAACCAAACATAACTATATCTATCCAAATCTTATTACAATATATTGAATTTGAATTATTACATTACGATCGGCTGTAGTACGCCTACTGTAAGTGAATAATTTATAATAATATTCCCACGAAGGAATACTTTTGAATTTTAATCATTACACTACGATCGGCTGTCACACGAAGACATCATCAGTACCAGATCTCCACCAGGACATCCAAAATAATTATTGTACTCCGGAACAATTAGTAATCATCCTACTAATATCATTTTTTTTCTTAACTATTTCATTATTGTATTTTTTTTTGAATTATAAAATTTTTTTTTATTTATAATAAAGTCTAAATCTTATAAAAAAAATCACATATTTGAATATTTTGGTTACAATTAAAAATTTATTGTAACGAATCTGGACAGACTGAGTATACCCCAGCAAATAAACAACGACGATAAGAAAGGGTCGTTACAGGTTAAGTCACGCAAAGACGCCTAAAAGAGTTTATTAAATGCAGAGGTTATTCAACAGGCTCATAAATTTAAGATTTCTGTGAAGTTTAGTTGTTTTAATTTAAATATTAAAAAGTGAACGTAGACTTTTACTGCTTCAAAAATTGTTTCTTTTGCATGTTATTGGATTTAATTTTTTTTATATAATAATTATTAATTGTTTATGTTTGAAGTTCATTGTTATCTCTTTGGTTAGAATATATCAGAAAAGAAAAATTAATTTGAGTAAAAATTAAATAAATTATTCAAAAAAAAAAAAAAATTAATAATAAGTATGTATAATTTTTACTAATAATTTCATAAAAAAAATTAAATTATTTAAATACATAGGCACAAAAAAAAATAAATTAATTTAAAAGCAAAAAAAAATAATATTGTATAAAAAAAATTTTTTTTAATATTATAATTAAAACAATTTTCGTGTAAAAATTAAATAAATTAAACATTTAACACAGTTTAAAAAGTGCAATTGTTTATATATTTTAAAAAACATTTTTATAAACTTATGAGTTGAATAAACGACCTAAGCCCGGTAAAAATATAAAAAACTATTTTAATATCGGTCGTAATACCAATTTACTAAAAATTAACGGAGGGCACGCCGTAATCAGAAAAAGGTAAAATCAAAATGATTTATTCACTTTTAAAAAAGAAATATAACAAAACCACAAATAACACCATTAACAAATTTAAAAAGATGAACAAAAGCCAAACAAAAATTCAAGCGAATAGGTCGCTTTTTATCCAAATGCAAAAAAGCACTGCTGATACCCGAATTTATAAAAAAAATGCAACAAAACACGTTAAAAAGTTATTTAATGACACAAACAAGATTCCAATATTAATATTTAATAAATTAGTGAAGAATATTGATATATTTCACGAGAAAATCTTAATATTATTACTTGACTATAAACACTTAATTTCTAACAATAAGAAATCAATTATAAACAAATTAATAGCAAACATCAAAACTCAAGTAAATGAATCAGACATGAAACTATTGCTCACAAGTACGGAATATCTATAAGACAATACAACAAATAAAAATACCGAAACCAAAAATAAAAAATTTTATAAACTAATAGAAAATCAAATAAAAGAGCATAACATTATTATAAACAAAAACTGGTTTATAAACAAAACTGACAAAATTATGGTATACGAACAAATATTGAATGGTTACTCTCTCTATGTGGCAAATATGCATTACCAACATCTGCCAAACATTTTCCCCTATTAAATTGTATTGCTGAATGATTGAAGAAATTATCCAAACATTATTGGATAAAAACAAGCAAGAAATATCGAGAGCACGATTCAGCAAAATGATTGACTCTTAAATGAGAAAAAAATACAATATAAAAGACAAATTTATATCGTATACAGAATGTCAAACAAAAGATTTCCTTAAAGAGAACCAAGATATTCTCATATTAAACGCAGATAAAGGCAATTCAACCGTAGCAATGAATAAAGCCGATTACAAAAAGAAAATGTTGAATATTATAAATGACATTACCACTTACAAGTTTTAAAACGAGACCCGACCTCAAAATTACAGACTAAAAACAACAAACTAGTCGAAAAATTATTCAAAGAGAATGCGTTTGATATTGCAAAAAATAACAAATTAATTATTTACACAGCTACGGCACCACGAATCTATGGGTTGCCGAAAATACATAAGATGGACATCCCTTTAAGACCCATAACGTTGTGTGCAAATTCGCCATCATACAAATTTTCCCAATATTTTGCATCTATATTAAAAAGTATAACTAAAGATTCCGTCTACAATATTAAAGATGCTATTGCTTTTAAATCACATATTTTTGACGATGAAAGATTAGTTTCCTTTGATGTAATCTCATTATTTCCCAGCATTCCAGTAGACTATGCATTTTTTTTTTTCGAGACTGGGGAACAAAAAATGTCTACACACACCCGCAGAAACGTCTTTCTGTGAGTTGCGTCAAGTAATAGTTGACCTCGCCGAACTTTCTTGTCGTCCATACCACTAAATCGGGGATTAGTCATGCAGTCCACCTACCACTATTTCGTTGCTCCATCTACTCTGCCATTCTTGCATTGTGTGTTCTCGGTAGCTTGTGCTCACGCTGTTGTTGTCGTTGTTTTGGCGGCTTAAATATGCTCGCCTTCGTTCAAGAAGTCGATGGGTATTGGGCTGCTGATCACAAGAACCGCTGCGCCGTATACAGTTCGGTAAGCTGATGTTACTCTGAGTGCGGCTGTTCTCGGGACTTTTTGGAGCGCATTGCGCTTCTGATTAATCTGTAAGGTGTTTGACCATACTTCCGAACCGTAGAGTAGTACTGTGTTCACTACTGCCATAAGCAATTTTCGTTTACCTTCTGTTGGTCCACCAACGTTTGCCATCAGCTTGCTAAGGGACGCTGAGGCCTTTGAAGCTTTTTCGACAGCATGATTTATCTGAGCCCGATACGACATCCTAGAGTCCAGATGGATGCCCAGATATTTCATTACCTTGGATGTTTTTATGGCCGAGTCCCAGACCTGCATTTCGATTTCCAAGGGTATTTGCCGCTTCGTTAGTAAGATCAATTCAGTCTTCTCGGTTGCTAGTTTCAGGCCACGGTCGTCCATCCAAGCCATCGTGGGTATCATCACCTGTTGCAGTTTGAGTTGTGCCTCGTGCACATTACGAGCTGTGATGACTGCAGCTACATCATAAGCAAAGCCGACTAGGTGAACGTTGTCTGGCATTTCGATGGAGAATATTTTTCCATAGCTCGCATTCCATAGATCGGGGCCGAGAACGGAGCCCTGTGCTGCACCGGAAGAAATCTTCTTGGTTTTCATGCCGTTCCGTGTGTGGTAGAGAAGCTCTCTATCGCTAAGGTAACTGCGAATCATTTGCATTAGGTACATAGGTTGTAACGAACCTTTCTGGCCGGGGTTTTGCTCGCCGGATTCCAGGTTCAGTCCTACAATAAATTTGTTTGTTAGGAACAGTGGAACGTGTGAATACACGGTGGATGGTGACGTTGGTGCGGTGATGTGGTTTGAAGAAATGTAAATTTCTTCTTTAAAAACAATGTATTTGGCGTAGAAATATTACTTTCGACGCCCCTCGAGAAAAAAGGTTTGAAGAAATGTGAATTTCTTCTTTAAAAACAATGTATTTGGCGTAGAAATATTATTTTCGACGCCCCTGAAGGAAAAGGTTTGAAGAAATGTGAATTTCTTCTTTAAAACATGTATTTGGTATGGGTGATAATGTTCATGGGTTATTATCACCTTACCGAGTAATTGATTAACGACATAGGGTTTCGTTATAGGTAATGAGTAATAGAAATTTATATTTCTATTACTAACGAAATGTTAATTTCGTTTTTTCTAATAATTTTTAATAGAAATATGTATTAAAAATTATAATTTATTAACGAAAATATGATTTCGTTTTAGTAAATGAGTAATAGAAATTTATATTTCTATTACTAACGAAATGTTAATTTCGTTTTTGATAATGAATTTTAATAGAAATGTGAATTTCTATTAAATTAAAAAAAAAATTAATAAAAAAAGAAATCGAGATGTAAATTTCGATTTGTGTTGCTTTCAGCATGTGTATTGTGTGTTGTTGTTGATGTGTGTTGTTTTTTTATTATATTTGTTTTGTTTTGTATTATAATGTGATTGTGTAGTAAAATTTACGAGTGTAAATTTTATGTTACACTTCCCCGGTTTTTCCATCGAGTTGCCGACTCTGATTACCTCGTAGAACGATTCCTTGTTCGTTTTCTTGGATTTTTGAAAATTTTAAAGAACTTGTCTTGGACTATGATGTTATGATTGTCATCTTTTTGTTCAAGTATACCTAAACGTCTTAATTGTTGCTGGCGATTTTGACTACTATTTGGAATCTCTGTCTCGACGAAACATTGTCTTACTAGCGTTGGTGACTTGGCTCCTTTTGCCTTCGATTGATCTACGTTAAAGTTCTCCTGAGGTGGCAGTTGTTCCTGTTGACTAACGCGATTAATTAAAACTTGTGCTCGACATTCTTGGCTTGGAATTTGTAACTGTCTGTCAGGTTCTGAGTTTTGCTGTCGTTGTATTTCTTGGCTTTGTGCTAGAAACTCTCTTGTAGATCGTTGGCGGTGTATTTCTTGGACTTGAGTTTGCAACTGTTTGTTAAGTTGTGTCTCCTGACTTTGTAATTCTGTGTTAGGTTTCGTGTTCCGTTGACCTGGTGTTTCTTGACTTGGTAATTCTGTGTTAGACTCTGTGTTTTGTCGCTGTATTTCTTGACTTGGTAGTTCTGTGTTAGATTCTGTGTTTTGCTGACGGTGTATTTCTTGACTCGGTAATTCTGTGTTAGACTCTGTGTTTTGCTGACGGTGTATTTCTTGATTTGGTAATTCTATGTTATTTTGATCGCAATCCTGTTGAATTTTACTTCGGTCTTTCACTTGTTTCCGATTTTTCGATCTGGATGGCTCCTGAGTTAAAAAACAACATTTATTGTTTTGATTCAATGATCTATTTACTTTTCTAATCAGACGAAGAGAACCAACTTTCTCTAGCTGTGACGGCGTTAGTTGTTCTTGTTGATTATTAGTTACTTGGGCCGACAGACGTGATTCACTGAGCTTCATGCATCCTAATGGTGGGACGGGGTGTTGTCTTGAGGTCTCATCGCCCCGTTCTGTCGATGGACCCTGATCTCGTTTCCCTGGTTCCTGCAGCAATCAATTGTACGTTTTCCTTTTTTCCCGCATTCCCAGCAAAATAAGATGCATGTGAAACGACAATTCCACCTCAAGTGTCCTTGTTGCCCGCAACGACGACAAGCTGTCCTGACATCTTTGATCTTGTCTTCAGATGCATCAATCACTCTTGCTTTGATCTCCTTAGCCGGTAGCGTATTTCTTACTTGACGGTCTGTAGCGGTCAGTGCCTCCAGGTCCCCAGCTAATGTTAACAGCTCGGATAATGACTGGAAGTCTTTCCTACGGATGTACCATTGATACTCGGTACGGCTGTTCCGGTAGATCCTCTCTAATTTTATCTCTTCACTGTATGTTGAATATTGCATGATGTTCTGCAGTGCCAATACATAATCTCTGAACAGTTCCCTGGGTTGTTGCAGGCGGGCTCGTATTTTGTCCTCTAATTGTTCGAAGTATCTTGGGGGCAAGAAGAATGCTAATATATCTGCTTTGAATGATGGCCACTCGGTCCATCGCTTGTTGTTATTCCTGAACCAGATCAGTGCCTTGTCTTTTAGTACTTCAGGCATTAGTTTGGGTAATAAGTCCCTATGTATTCCGTACATATCCGCCAGTTCCTCGATCCGTTCTATAAATGGTAGTATTTCGTTTTCCCCTGAGTAGTGGCATTCCCATTTTCTGACTTGATTAATTATCACTGGATATTCTGCCATGGTTACACTTCCTCCCTTAGTTATCGAAGGACGTCTATTTTCACTGACTCCCGGTGATGAGCTTCTGATATGTAGTTTAGCGAGTTCCTGTAGCCGGGCGGTATCTTTCTCAGCTGCCTCTGAGTCCATGAACGTTGAAAGTTTTTTCCGAAGTTCCTCCAGTGAACCACTTGGATCTAATCCGAATTCGTCTGCGTAACTCACCAGTTCCTCCTTTTTAGCGAAGTAAATCCAAGATTTGCCTCCTGATGTTAGTCGTTTTGCGCTTGTCGAAGCGACTGCTGTTTTACGGCCTGCTAGTCCTGTCACTTCCTTGATTCCTGATGGTACCACCGTTGGTTTGTCTTCCATACTCAACTAAAGATGTTGGTCAGTTTTGTTCCCACTGTCCCTGCTCGGGCGCCAATTGTAACGACCCTTTCTTTCCGGGGTTTTGCTCGCCGGATTCCAGGTTCAGTCCTACAATAAATTTGTTTGTTAGGAACAGTGGAACGTGTGAATACACGGTGGATGGTGACGTTGGTGCGGTGATGTGGTTTGAAGAAATGTGAATTTCTTCTTTAAAAACAATGTATTTGGCGTAGAAATATTACTTTCGACGCCCCTCGAGAAAAAAGGTTTGAAGAAATGTGAATTTCTTCTTTAAAAACAATGTATTTGGCGTAGAAATATTATTTTCGACGCCCCTGAAGGAAAAAGGTTTGAAGAAATGTGAATTTCTTCTTTAAAACATGTATTTGGTATGGGTGATAATGTTCATGGGTTATTATCACCTTACCGAGTAATTGATTAACGAAATAGGGTTTCGTTATAGGTAATGAGTAATAGAAATTTATATTTCTATTACTAACGAAATGTTAATTTCGTTTTTTCTAATAATTTTTAATAGAAATATGTATTAAAAATTATAATTTATTAACGAAAATATGATTTCGTTTTAGTAAATGAGTAATAGAAATTTATATTTCTATTACTAACGAAATGTTAATTTCGTTTTTGATAATGAATTTTAATAGAAATGTGAATTTCTATTAAATTAAAAAAAAATTAATAAAAAAAAAAAGAAATCGAGATGTAAATTTCGATTTGTGGTGCTTTCAGCATGTGTATTGTGGAACAACCTGTTCGCAGCTCGATGTCTTGCTGAATCCCCGTCTACTGCTTTTGCTTCGCCTTTTATACCTGCGATGTGCGAAGCAAACAGTATATTTGTTCTTGTAATTGCAACGGTGCGTTGTTTACAAGTTTTTTCTATTGTTTTTGATGTGTGTTGTTTTTTTATTATATTTGTTTTGTTTTGTATTATAATGTGATTGTGTAGTAAAATTTACGAGTGTAAATTTTATGTTACAAGGTGTACTAAAGCGCCTTTCTAGGGCGTTGATCACATCAACCCATTGTAGGCTGTTGAACGCGTTCCTTCAGGCAAGAATTAAACATTTCAAGCAGGAGTTGCGGGCGGTCATCTGCTATCAGTTTAATTACCTCTGATGGAACACCATCTGGTCCTGGAGCCTTGTTGTTCTTCAAAGAACGTGCGGCGGCTTTAAGTTCATATTCCGTGAAAAATGGTGGGTCGTCAATGAAGGTCCTTTCGGGATCTCTTCGCTCTTCATGGTCCGGAAAGAGAGAATTTACGATATTATCCATCATACTTTCTTCCAGATCAGGAATTGATGCCAAAGTTCCTAGTTTCCGCATAACGATCTTGTAGCCAAGTCCCCATGGGTCGTTATTTACGTCGTTACGCAGCTCCATTTTCTTTTCTTACTTTTGTGGATAGCAAACTTTAACGCTTTCCTCACCGCTTTCAGTTCTTCAATTTCTTCCGCAGCGTTACTTGGAGGCAGACCCTTCGAATTTCGGCTATTTCATCAGTCCACCAGTAGGCTGCTTTTCTTCCAGAGTTTTTTGCAGCTCTAGGCATTGCTGCATCGCAAGCCTCGCAAGTGTTTTTCTACTGCTTTGCATTGTGTGGCGGACCAAGCTTCTGGCGTCTCTCCCTCCAGCGTTTCTCATCATCCTCTCATCAAACACCTCGAGAAAAATATTTCGATTCAGTTTGTTCGTGGACCATTTGCGGGTAGATTTTCTTCCGGAGTTCCATTTGGCCTGCTGAGTAGTTCGACGGTGAACCAGATGTATTGGTGGTCACTGCCCGTGAAGTCCTCCAGAACTGACCATCTCTTTAGCGTACTCGCTATCCTCTCTGACACTAACGTGATGTCTGGGATTGTGCTTTCGCATCCTAGTCTGCGGAAGGTAGGAACCGTTCCCCTGTTTGCTACTACCAGCCCTAATCTGGCCGCCATATCGA